CAAGCTCTTGCATCTGATGGATGAGCAATCTCGCCATCCCGCTGGACATGTTCAGCATGCCACCTCATCGCTGCTGCAGTCCTCTCAGATTGATATAATCTTTTCAGCCTATCTTTGATTGGTAAGTACCACATTCTTTGGTACGGAACCCTATTCCTTCCACGTCCTTGCGGTTTGAATCGTGGCTTCTTGCAGAATCGACACTCTTCTAGCTTCTCATCATCTCTCCAGTAGATCATGCAGTTGCCGATGCAAACATCTATCATCTCCGATGGCAACCCAAGACTATAAACCAATAATCTCGTAATAAGATTCAGCTGACACGTTGTCTTCTGGCAAATACTCTTTAAACAACTCCGCCCATGCATTCATGCAATTCTCAGGTAAATTATGATCCGTTTTAATATTCATCATCCTAGCTGCTAGAGACAGTTTAGAGTGACCTTCTCTACAACCAGTGTAGATTGGTTGATTTGCAGCATCTAGCATTTCATAAAACCTTTTTGCATCCAAATTAGGTTCTTCAACATGAACAGTTTCATCTGCTATTGTTGTAGTGGTTTCTAAAAATGCATCAGTAATCATATCGTGAACCCTATCATGACCTACCATCTGTTCAACACCCTGATTATTACGGACATTCCGAAAATTACTATTACTACTACTGGCTTCATTTCCTCCATAACCCTCCCCATGTTGAAACCAAATATAATACTGTGGTGTAAAACCTCTGTGTACTAAATGTTTCCAGACAGTTTCCGTGCGAGCAAATTTTGAATTCTTGCATTTCTGACAAGGACAGAACATCTTACCACTTTCCTGCGTGAGCGGTGTACATGATGCCTGGTTCATGAACGTCTCAAGCCCGCTAAGAAATTCATTCGTCACTCTACCGTCGGAATCTTTATGCGTATACATCCAACTCCCCAATTCGAAAATATTTCTTCCATCCGACATTTTTTTTATTTCTTTTTGTGTGGTGGTATGAATTGAGAAATGAGAAATGCTCATATATATAGCAAACCCACGAAAATTGGTAGGTGAAAATTTACAATGTATTTACAAGGAACATATTTACATGGATATTACATGTCTCTAACATATAGGTTACAACATGTTTACAACGACATCAGTTACACATTAAACTCGTGTTCACCTACCAGTATTCGTCGTAAAGCCATTGTAAATTTACGACGAATTTACAACGAAAGTTAAAAAAAAATTTGGATAAAATTTTTTCTTCATTACTTAAACAAACCTAAAATGCGTGGACAGTTACCAGAACAGTTCTCATCAACTTCTCGTATCTATTTATCGACTTCTCGAAAAAAGTTACCAGGAGTTGATTAGAACTGTTCTGGTGACTGTTCACGCATTATAATTTCTTCAAAAATCGACACATAAGTTATCGATTTTTTTTTTCTACGAAATTTTTTTCTTTCTACGATTTTTTTTTGTTTTTGTTTGTGGTGTTCTTAGGAGTGAATATCAATGACATATATATAGAGAATTTTCGTGTGTGGTTGGTAACGATTTAACAACGAATTTACATGGAACCATTTTACTACGATTTTACAAGGCATTTGAACATGCTTTACAACCATGTTACAACGAAAGTAGTTACTTAAGAACACGTTTTTGTTCACTTTTAACGGTTAAATATTACTCGTAATGTACTTGTAACTTTACTTCGTCTTTACAACGAATCTTTCTTTGCCTAGTACCTTCGTCGTAAATTTACTTGTCGTTTACGACGAAGGCATTTGCTTGTAACGTAACTAGTTCATTACGACGAATATTAATTTCGTCGTAAACTACTTGTAACGTAATCGTACCATTACGAGGAAGGAAATTCCTCGTAATTCTTCCTCGTTAAAGGAGTGTTTCTTGTAGTGTGTCGTTTCGGTTTCAGTTTGATTTTCTTCGGTTTTTCGGTATTTGGTTTATAAAAATTAACTACCATATTAATACTATATCTATTTTGGTTTGGTTCGATTTCTATACTAACGGTTTTGGTTTTTGTTTTGTTTTATACCAAAATCCTAACTATATATATACTTATGATAAATTTTAGTTTATATGTTAATAAATCAGATTTACTAAAACATAATTAATATATATCTCGTATTCTAATTTTAAAATAAATATTTTTTTTTTCATTTTTACTATTAAAAACAAAACTAAAAAATATTAAACATCATAATAATATTAAATAATTAAAGTTTAGCACAAATATTTACTAATCAAATATCTTTTATACACGTATCCATACATAAGTGTATAAACGTATCCATAATAAAAGGGTAGATTAGTCATTTCTGTTTGATGAAAACCAAACTGAATAAAATGACAACCAAGTAGGAAATGGACACTAAAGGGTCTTTATCTGTATATCCATGCAGATTGTGTATAATGCCAGTCATTTTCATCACTAAATATTATTTTATATATAAATAGCATAATTTACGTGGATGTTTTTGTATTAGGTGGTTACACTAATCATCATTTTAAATTAATGAAAAGGTCGTTGACAACAAATAATATTAAGGGTAT